TTTTAAAAAAAGATCTTGTTCCAAGTCTTATTAGTGTGAAAGCACTTAGTTTTTCATCACTTTGAGATTAACCGTAGGATCTTGTTGATCTTTTAAAATTTTATTTTTGAGAGAAGGCTCAAGTATCTCAGGCTAGCCTTCAATTTGTTATGTAACAAGGATGCCATCAATTCCTGATCTTCCTGCCTCCAACTCCTGAATTCTGGGCTTATACCATCACTACTGGTTTAACTTGAAGGGTTTTGTTTTGTCGTAAAAATTCAGATTGAGATGTACCTTTCTATTGCTAGTTGAGGGACTCTCTTTTCTTTCCTCCTTTCCTCCCTCCCTCCCTTCCTTCTTTTTTACAATCTGTTTATTGACCATTCTAGTTAGCTTCTCTGATTAGCTCTGTCATGGCCATTTATACACATGGTTTTGTTTGAATATCTGTTTTTCTGTTCTTTTGTGCTTATATTTAGAAATTATTAGATTATAAATTAATTCTTTTTATAAAAATTTGAGGAACCACCAAACCATCTTCTAAAGCAATTTTATGTTTAAAATTTCTCATATCCTCAATATTTACTGTTTTTCATATTTTTTAAAGATTTCATTTTTAAATTATGTGTACTTGTGTGGCTATATGTAATGCAGGTACCCATGGAGTCCAGAAGAGGTCACTGAATACCTCTAGAGCAAGAGATTCCACGGGTTTATGAGCTGTTTACCATATGTGCTGGGAATCAAACTCAGGTTCTCTGCAAAAACAGCAAACTCTGAGTCATCTCTCCAGCCTTTATTTTTCTTATTTTAAAAACTGTAGATCCATATTAGTAGATGTAACATGAGGGGCCGGCTTTAAATAGGAACGGTGGGCCTCTTCCCGCCACCCGCCTCCTGGCTAGCTTTACCTGAAATAATTACATAGAAATTGTATTCATTCAAACACTGCCTGGCCCATTATCTCTAGAGAGTTAGTTACTGGCTAACTCTCACATCTTGATTAACCCATTTCTAATAATCTGTGTAGCACCACGAGGTGGTGGCTTACTGGAAAAGATTCAGCATGTCTGACCTGGTGGCTGGCTGCATGGCGTCTGCCTCATTGCCTTCTTCCCAGCATTCTGTTCTGTTTACTCTGCCTACCTAATTTTCTGTCCTATCAGAGGGCCAAGGCAGTCTCTTTATTAACCAATGAAAGTAACACAATAGACAAATAACCCTCCTCCATCAAGTAGATATGAATTAGTATCTCATTTTTATTTTGATTTACTTCTCCTTAATGGCTAATGGTATTGGTGTCTTGTGTGCTTGCTGGCCATTTCTATATTTTTTGATTCTTTTATTTATTTTTGTTGTGGCGGGGATGGAAACTAGGGGCCTTTCACATACTACATAAGGGCTCTACTACTGAGCTAAATCTCCAGAGACTATTTGCACATTTTCTTTGGATACATATCCTTACAGATCTTTTACCCATTTTAAAATCCAAGTTGTCTTATTATTGACTTCAAGTTTTCCTTGCATAATCCAGTTATAACTCACTTATCAAACATGATTTTCAAATATTTTCTCCTATTCTAAGCATTATCTTTATTATTTTCTTAATATACTTTTAAGTTCAAAAGCTTGATGGATTATCTAAAAAATGATTGGTAAAAGTGTAGTTATGAAATTTTGACACTGTGTTTTCTTTTAATTTTTTGTATTATATCTTTGATCTACTTTTTTTTCACAGACAAGTGAAAAACTTTAATTTTCCTTTCTTTTCCTTTCTTTCTTCCTGGCAGGGTATGTGATCAAACAGTGTCTATACCAACACTGATGACAACAAAAGCTTATACAGAGAGCCTCAGTCTAGGCATGTTATTAGTTTTTCAAAAGCCCAGAGAACTTTGACAGGTGTACCAAAAGGAGATCAGCCCAAACCAGGAACACCCAAGCAAGGTGTGACTTCTTTTGTTAAAACAAAGTAGCTGGAGTCTTCCTCTTGACTTTTCTTTTTCTTTGTATAGCCAAAGGGGGAAAGGCATTTTAGGAGTCTTAGCTTTAATCATTATTACCATTCCTAAGGGACAGTCCCAGCTACACTGCTATGGAACCGAACAAATCATCCTTGGGAGTTGGTCTGCTCCTTCCACCAAAATGAGGACCTCTCTTGTTTCTGTTGAGCAGCATATATGAGGCTGTTTGGACCTCAAGCTTTGCTGGATCGTGACCTCCCAATGTGCATTTTGCTGTATCCATTTCTTTATGTGGCTTCTGAATATCAACCTCAGATCATCAGACTTGTTCACCCAGCATTTGCCCCTCTGGAGCCATCTCTCCGGCACCCTATTTTGATACCATTTTCTGCCTCAAAAATGGTCATTATTATCTACTTTAGAGTTAAATTTTGTATGCAATATGAGAAGAAGCCCAATTTCATTACTTGTTTTCATGGGTATAGCCAGGTCTTCCAACATTGTGAAGAAGCTAGCATCTACCAAATCAAATGACCATACATTTATGGGTTTATTTTTGAACTCTCATTTTTATTGCATAGATCTTTATACTTATACTTATGGCAGTACCCATCTTCTTTGATTATGTATTCACAGTATTCCAATTTTCTCCATATTCATGTTTACTTTGTATGTCTTTTTCCCATGCTTTGTAACCTATGCTATTGTTATTGAAATGTGTTTCTTGAATACAAAATATAAAAGCAGTTCATGCTTTTTATATACAGTATGATAGTTTCTGGTCTTAATGTATTTAGATAATTTAAATCTCATACAATTACTTATGTTTAGATATAAATTTATCATCTCTTTATATTTTTCTTGCATTTTTGTTTCTCTTTCTCCTTTTATGCCTTATTTTAATATCTTAATTTCTCTAATTTAACTTTATTATATAGTATCATATAATATTTTATTTGTTCTTTGAGGTATTAAAATGCATATTTAAGATTTTACTGTCATTTACATGAGTTATATGCTAGTTGGAGTCAAATTTAAATTCTTTTGCATACCTTTATGGGTGTGAGATCTTTCCTTTATTCTTTCTTTTTTTGTAGTACATATACACATTTGAGTTTTATTCAGCCACAAAGAAAAAGAATAAAATTATGTCATCAGCAAGAAGATGGATGCCACTGGAAATAAGCCAGACTCAGAAAAGCAAATATTGCAAGTTTTCTGTCTTTAGGGTGTGTGTGTGTAATATGTGTGTGTGTGTGTGTGAGAGAGAGAGAGTGTATGAAAGCAGAAGCAAAAAAGATATGTTGAGAAAAGGGGACTAGAAGGAGGAGATGGTGAAGGCAGAAGGTTTGGGGGTCTTTTTTCTAATCTCTTTATTTTTCAGAGCTATCTCTTTTTGGTTCCTTAATCAGAAGATGCCAACTGTTACATCTTAACCAGATCCTTGTTTGTTGATTTTGGTTCCTGTAGGCGTCTGTTGCCAGCCATTGTCTCTGCCATGGACATAGCTGGAGTTGGTGCACGAAAGAATGGAGGAAAGGACTAAAAAGTTATTTCTCCCCATCCTCTGAGCACTAAAAGATACCTTTCCAGTTCCTGGAAGCACAGTATTCATTGCCAAGTTTCAAGCTATGCTTTAATACAGGTTATATAATCCTACAAGGAGAAAAGGGTCTATCAATTTGCTGGTCCTTTGAATTCTGGTGCTTTCCCTTATCTGTAACCTATTTTACTTACTTTTAGAAGTTTCAAAGAGTTAGGTTGTAATTTTTATCAATTTTTGTCAAATAATTGAATGTAGTCAAAGGCAAAGAGCAAAATGTGTTTACTCCATCTTATCCAGAACTAGACCTCTGGTGATAATTTAATTCTGTCAAACTATTTGCTTATAAACTTACTTGTATGTTATATGTGTCATCATTATTTACATCACACAATTAACTCATTGTGGGCTTTGTTATTAATTGTGGCTATGAAACTGAACTCAATATAAGAAAGACCAAGTTTCTAAACGAAGTAATTATACACTTTAGTCTTCTCCCCCTTTTCTGAAACACATTCATTATTATTCAGAAACAGTATGTTCCTAGATTCTTTGTTCATCCCCCATAAAAATGTGGAGTCCTATGGACCAGCTTTAGTGGTATGACATAACAGAATGAAACAGAAGTGATTAGAAACGTAATGCATCTTTCCAGTGAACTCTTCTTGAGACCATATAAAATGTCTGGTTCCCTTGTATTGCTTATTCTAAAAACACTATGTGGCTATTATCTTAGTTAAGCCTTTCAATCATAGATATAAGACATATGAAATACTTTTGAGGTAATCTCAGCTCTGACCATTTTTTTTACTATAATACTATTGTATCCATACACAAGACAGTTTCAAATTCCATGATGCCAAAGATAACTATCAAAAATAATATTATTATTGCTCCACCAAATTGTGGAGTTATTGAACAATAGATAACTAAAACAAAAAAAGCTCCAATTAAGCAGATTTTCCACACAAAATAATTAAAATCAAAATATAATAAGTTTACTTTTTATAAGTTTATGCTATTAAACTATAAATTAAATAACAAATGAACAATATTAGAATAACATGTCATGAGTAAATACATTTTTTCTCATATTTGTGTACACCTTTGGTTGACAAAATAATCACCTGAACCAGTCAGTATGTCACTGCTCACAAAGACAAATGTGCTTTGTCTCCAAGAAACTTTTAAGAAAATTCGGAGTTTTCAAAAAGTAAAGGAGAGAAGAAACACTGCTGAGATTACCTACAGATTACAGTCGAATAAAGCAATTATTTGGAAGCAGCAACCTAATTACAGATCACAGATGTTCTTGAGCTAAAGTTCACTGTATTACATAGAATGAGTTCACCGAATTACACAAAATAGATATTATTGTTTTAATAAACTGGATTATTATCCTTTCTATCACTATATTCGGGGGGGAAGGCCCCCATTTTCAGAGCAAAGAATTTAAAGGCTCACAGCATCAACAGAGTCTGTCTTGTCCTTCCATTATTCCATATAATTACCTTCTTTACACACTAGCAAAGCTCCAATGAGGCCTGAATTCAAATCTTTCACCAGATCCACATGAGATAGATATGAATAGGTGAGACATGGAGGGTCAGAAGCCATTGGACCATTCTCTTTCAGGACCTGCCAAACATAGGTATGACTTTCACCAGGAAAAACTTTATCATCTTCCTTCTCTCTTTGACTTGTCTGATCTTCATATTCAGCTCCTAAAGGAAGAAGGCATAAAATTGGGGGTTTTTTGTGTGTGTCTATTGTCAACTCAGAAACATGTTATGCTCATAGATGATAATGAAGTCTACATAATAGACTTTTTCAGGATTTTGAAAGCTCTCACCATAAAGAATGATAAATTTTTCAAGGAGATAGATATATTCAATGTTTTAAATATTCCACAATATATATCTATACTAAACATTAAATATTATACCATTACTATTTAGTATATATATATATGTGTGTGTGTGTGTGTGTGTGTGTGTACAAAATAACTCTTAAATTTTAAAACACATTGTGTCAAAACATTACACTATTCCTCCAAAACATAAGCAACTTGTGGGATATTAGTTTAAGATGTGTTACATTCATTTATGCTGTGAAACACTTGTTAAATGATGCAAAGATGTATTGTATTCATTTTTGTTGCATTTCTTTAACTCTGTGAAGCTGTGTTACTTTTCCTAACTAAAACACCTGGTTGGTCTAATAAAGAGCTGAATGGCCAACAGCAAGGCAGGAAAGAGGGAGAGGTGAGGCTACCAGGCAGAGAGAATAAATAGGAGAAGAACGGAAAGATCTAGGAATGAGAAAAGGAAAAGAGGAGGACACGAGAGTCCAGCCACCTAGTCAGTCACAGAGTATGAAGGAAAAAAAAGATATACGAAATAAAGAGAGTTAAAAGCCCAGAGGCAAAATGTAGTTAAAGGAAAATGGGATAATTTAAGTTAGAAAAGCTGGCTAAAAACAAGCTAAGGCTGGGCATTCATAAGTAAGAATAAGTGTCCGTGTATTTATTTGCAAGGTGTGTGGTGGACACCCCAAAGATTAAAACCACCAACTACAGCAACATTGTCAATAAAAAATTCTCTTTATATTAGAAATAAAAGCATGATGACCCAATTTTATGCCCAAAATTACTGTCAAAAAATGGTAAACTCAGCCAGGCGTGGAGATACATGCCTTTAACACCAGCACTCAGTAAGCAGAGGCAGGTGGATCTCTGAATTCAAGGATAGTCTGGTCTACAGAGCAAATTCCAGGACATCCAGGGCTTACAGAGATATCCTGTCTCAATAAATAAAACAAAACACAAAAAGACAGGCTGTCACAATCCACAACCACTGTGAATTCATATGCACAACAGCCTTCCTTGTAGTTATTCACTGCCTCTGGTTCTTGCAAGCTTTTTGTTCTTTTTTTTCCTGCAATATTCCCTGAGTCTTGGGTGAAGGCAATGTTTAGGGATGAGCATTTCACAGTCTCTCATTCTCTGCACCTTGACCAGTATGGGTCTCTGTGTTAGTAGTCATATACAAAAAAGAAAGAAAAAAGAAAGAAAGAAAGAAAGGAAGAAAGGAAGAAAGGAAGAAAGAAGGAAGAAGAAGAAGAAGAAGAAGAAGAAGAAGAAGAAGAAGAAGAAGAAGAAGAAGAAGAAGAAGAAGAAGAAGAAGAAGAAGCAGCAGCAGCTTCCCTGAGAGATGCACTAACATATGGGTATATCATTAAGTCATTAGAAGTAGGTTCAGTATGTCTATTTAGTAGAACAGTGGTAAGTTCTCTTCTAGGGCCTATGATCTGTTTAGCACACACATGTACCTACATAAACATGCACACACAGAGACACACACACAGTAGACATTTGAATGATTAAAAAGGAGCAGCTATAAAACCTTGTATCTTCCAGAGGTGCTTGACCCCCAATCCTAAAGTAAGTAGTGAAAATTATGTTCTTGTTGAGACCTCCTGATTCTGTAAGCCAGTAATATTGCCTCCATTCTTGCATCTTTAGCCTAATTCAACTCAATTGAATAACAAATATGTCCTGGATAAGTATTTTTTAAATATTTTTCATTTTCCCTTTTCTTCTTCCAAACTTTCTTATATATCCTTTCTTGCTCTTTTTCAAATTCATGACCTCCATTTTTATTGATTGTTATAACATATACAGGCACTGGACACACTAGGATGTGACAGAGAGGATTTAAAGATCAGGTTTTTATTTAAAAGGATAACACTATTTGATGAATGGCATAGAAATAAAATACTAGCAAAAAATTATTAATTTGGAGGAAGTTTCAGCAGAAAAGAGTGCCTACTGTTCTTGCAGAAGACCTGGGTTCAGTTCCCAATACTCAAATAGCAACATACTATTATAGATAACTCCAGGACCAAGGGATCCAATACAATCTTCTGACCTCTGTGGGTTCCCATGTGCACATGGTATACGTACATACACTCAGGACACATGTACAAACAAAATAAATAAATACATAAATATTTTTAAATTTTCACTCATTTACTTAAATATTTACTGAGTTTTTGTTCTTTATCAGGCTCACCTATAAGCTGAGAATATAAACAACTTTACACTATGGAGCAGAGAGTTTACAAGTACAGAGTAAAAACTATTTCTGATTCTTGTTGGCAACTAGCAGTCTCCTTTCATTAGATTTATGCACTAGAAAGTTTCTACACTAATATAGGGAAACTTTCAGAAGCATACAAATATACCTTTCTTTAAAGAATCTTTTCAAATTCCATCTCTTTCATTAGGCATCACCAAAAGGAAGGAAATTTTTTTATTATTTGGTCATATTAGTCTGAAAATTTCCAAGTTAAGGCCTTTCCATTTCAGAATGACAACTTAGAGTATGTAATATAGAACACATGCATCAATAATTATTAATGATTTCCTTGATTTTTAAATGTTTTAGAGTATATCGATAGTACTGGAGTCAACTGGCATCCTAGTCACTCTTTCCTACACTGTGAGGTTAAGCAGAAGCTAGCTGGAGTGGGGGCCAAGGCCAAGTTATTTTAATGATCTCATCTTGATCTTCTGCTATATGGCTCTTAGCAGATCATAAGCCCTTTCTTTATAAAAGTAAGAGTCTAAAGAAAAATGAGAATTCTTCTTTATCTCCGTACTATGAGATTTGATCTTCTTTAGAAAATTTCTGGGCAGAGAAAGACTGACACAATAGGAGTTTTAGGACTCTCAGTCTGACTCCAAAGGGAGAACACAGGGATTTGAATAAAAATAGCAAAGTTTTGTGGAATATTAGTTTAAGATGTGTTATATTTGTTTAAACTGCAAAATATTTGCTTAATGATGCTCTATTTTATGTTGCATTTTTTAACTCTGTAAAGCTGTGTTAATGTGCCTGCCTAAAACACCTGATTGGTCTAATAAAGAGCTGAATGGCCAAGCTAGACAGGAAATGGATAGGTAGGATTGCCAGGCAGAGAGAATAAATAGGAGAAATCTAGGGAAAAAGAGGAGAGGAAACCAGAGTCTAGTCACCCAGCCACCCAGCCAAGCATAGAGTAAGAAGGAAAGAAAAAAATATAAGAAAGATAAAAAGCCCAAAGGCAAAATAAAGTTAAAGATAAATGGGATAATTTAAGTTAGAAAAGCTTGCTAGAAACAAGCCAAGCTAAGGCCAGGCATTCATAAGTAAGAATAAGTCTCTGTGTATGTATTTGGGAGCTGGGTGGTGGGCCCCCAAAGAGTAAAAACATTAACTACAGAAACATTATAGTAATACTGGATGTTTAGGATACACCATCTGTCCTGGTTAAGTTTTATTATCAATTCGACACAACCAGAGTCACCTTTTTTCATGATAAAATAGCATGAACAAAGGTAACTTAAGGAAGAATTTATTTTGGCTTATGCTTCCAATGGGCTAAATGTCAATAATGGAAGGGAAGACATTGACACATGCATCTGTAGAAGATAGTTGAGATATATCTAAATTGTACAAAGGAAGTAGAGAGAGCTACCTAGAGGTAGGGGTGAGGGTATAAACTCTCAAAGCCTATTTCCAGCGACATATTTCCTCCAGAAAGATTCTACGTCCTAACAGTTCCATCACCTCTCCTAACATCACCAATTGGGAATCAAGTGGTCAAGTACTGGAGACTATGGGAGATATTTTTCATGATTTGAATTTCATTATAATGACCATTTGGGGGTTACAATGAATCCATGAAGAACTAAGAACTTCACTCTACCCTAAAACTTATAGGGTTATCTGTCAATAATAGAACGTTTCTCAAAATTTTTAAAGTCCGAAACGAGGGTCTTTTTTTGTCCTAGCTTAATTAGGTAAGATACTGATCACTAGGCCAATAAACTGTGACCAAGAAGATGGGAAACATGATCAACTGCTTATCTCTAGACCAATCACCTAGACCATGGAGATTTGGACTTTAAAAAAAATAGCATATTCTGTTTGAAATATAGTTAGAAGGGGCAATTTTTTTAAATACAGGGTCTTATTTTATGGCTCAGGTTGGCCTAGAACTTACAATGATCTTCCTGGTTCAGTCTCATGAATGCTGAGATTAGAGGTGTGTACCATCAATCTTTATTAGCAATTCTTTAGGGGCTTCTCTGTACCCAATATTAAGAATAAAATATGTGTTGGAGAAGATCTTCACCAACCCCTCATCAGACAAAGGTATGATCTCCAAAATAGACAAAGAACTCAAAAAACTAGACACTAAAACTCTAATTAAGCCAATTAAAAAATGGGGTACTGAACTGAATAGAGAATTCACAACAGAAGAACTTCAAATGACCAAAAGACACTTAAGGTCATGCTCAACCTCCTTAGCCATCAGGGAAATGCAAATCAAAACAACTTTGAGATACCATCTTACACCTGTCAGAATAGCTAAAATCAAAAACACCAATGATAGCCTATGCTGGAGAGGATGTGGAGTAAGGGGAAAACTCATCCGTTCTTGGTGGGAATACAAACTTGTGCAGCCACTTTGGAAATCAGTGTGGCAGTATCTCAGGAAACTGGGATTCAGCCTACCTCAGGACCCAGCAATTCCACTCTTGGGAATATGCCCAAGAGATGGCCTGTCATACTACAAAAGCATTTGTTCAACTATGTTCATAGCAGTACTATTTGTAATAGGCAGAACCTGGAAACAACCTAGGTGCCCCTCAATAGAAGAATGGTTAAAGAAGGTGTGGACCATATACACATTAGAGTTTTACTCAGCGGTAAAAAACAATGACATCTTGAATTTTTCATGCAAATGGATGAAAATAGAAAACGCTTTACTGAGTGAGGTAACCCAGACTCAAAAAGAGGAATATGGTATGTACTCACTCATAAGTGGATTCTAGTCATAATTAAAGGTCTTTGAGCCTATAATTCGTGATCCTAGAGAAGCTAAATAAGAAGGTGAACCTAAAGAAAATCATATAATTATCCTCCTGGATATTGGTAGTAGACAAGATTTCCAGGCAAAACTTGGGTGCACGGGGGTGGGGGTGGGGGGTGGATGTAAGGGGAGATGGGTAGAGAGAAAGGAGAAGGGGAGGATTGGGGAACGCTTGGGGGAATGGAATGGGTGGAATAGAGGAAGGATGGATATGGGAGCAGGGAAGTAAATATCTTAATTAAGGGAGCCATTTTAGGGTTTGCAAAAGACTTGATTCTAGAGGGGTTCCCAGGTCCAAGGAGAGGTCCCCAGATTGTTCCCTGGGCAGCAGAGGAGAGGGTGCCTGAACTGGCCTTGTCCCATAGGCATACTGATGAATATTTTGCATATCACCATAGAACCTTCATCTGGCGATGGATGGAGATAGAGACAGAGACCCACATTGAAGCACTGGACTTAGCTCCCTATGTCCAAATGAGGAGCAGATGGAGGGAGAATATGAGCAAGGAAGCCAGGATCACGAGGGGTGCGTCCACCCACTGAGACAGTGGGACTGATCTAATGGGAGCTCACCAAGGCCAGCTGGACTGGGAGTGTTGGAGCATGTGATTAAAATGGACACTCTGAATGTGGCTGGCAATGAAGGTTGACTGCGAAGCCAAGGACAAAGGCACTGGGTTTTGATTCAACTGCATGGACTGACTTTGTGGGAGCCTAGTTTGTTTGGATGCTCACCTTTATAGACCTGGATGGAGTGGGGAGGACCTTGGACTTCCCACGGGGCAGGGAACCCTGACTGCTCTTAGGACTGGAGAGGGAGGGGGAGGTGGGGAGGGGAAGGGAAAGGGAAGGCGGGGAGGAGGTGGTAATTTCTAATAAATAAACAAATAAATTTTAAAAAAGATTTTAAAAAAGAATAAAATATGGGCTAGACAAGTTCTGTATCACTGAGCCATATCCCTGCTCCCATAAGAACTAATTCTAATTGAGTAAGGAACATAAAGAAAATGGTGTTTTCTATACCTTTGTTCTTATGCAGAGCAAGGACTATATGCTAGGTATTACGTTACATGCTAGGGAAACAATAAATGTATACAATGAACCTATTTTGAAATATTTACATTCTAGTAACTTCGAGATAGAAATGGTAGAACTAACATCAGATTTTAAATGCTGGAAGCCTCAATTACAGTTCACTTTTCTTCTTGAGTCTTTGCCTTTCTCAGGAACTACTTATAGAAGTTTATATTAGTGAAACTCTCTATCTTGTGTGACAAGAACTTTCCATAGACAGATTAAATAAGGCTGATGTTCCTCCTTCCTCTATAGCTCTTCCATATTGCTCAACATCAAGACATATAGAAAAGGATTTCATTATCATAATCACCATCTGTAAAAATCAAAGCAAGTTTTCAGTAGCTACATTTGTCATAATGTTAAAGAAGTCTGGCCAAGAATAAAACCAAAACAGAAGGAATATAGAGCAAAAAAATGGTGAGAAAAATGATGCTGAAGGTATCATTAAATCCTTGGTCCCCAGTCACACCCCGTTCATTTCATGGAACTTTCTAGTTATATAAACAAAATTCAGCATTATCTATACAAATCCTGTACTGTGGAATAGTGGTTCAGAGCACAAGTTTTAGGGTTGGATAGGCCCACTTATGGGCCTGATTCTGCCACTGGAAAGCATATGGGCTTGAATGCAGTACATATAAGTAATTACAACTACTATGATAATTAAATTTCAATACATTTATAAACAAAAGAATTAATACAATTCCAGGTATAACACTGTTTAGACATGCCCCTCTAAGTTTCTTGCACTGGATATTTGGTTCCAATGTAATAGTTATGAGACATTTAAGAAGGAAAGGTTAATTTTGGCTCATTGTTTCAGAATATTTATGATCACTTATACTATATGGCATAGAGCTGTCATGATAGCTGATGCTCTTAGAACTCAGAACTATTAATTATATAATCCTCTTACTTTGTAAGGTGCCCAGCTAAGTGTTTATTTTATAGCAATCCAAAATGGAGTAACATGGCTCTTATTAGCAAGAACATGCTTCTCATCTTTCTATAACTGAAATGGCAGAACAATAGGAAAGAATTTGACTCACCCTCAGAAGATTTCCAGTAGGAAACACCAACAGCATGAAGACTGACAGGATGAGAAGCCATGTTTTTAAGGGTAATGACCACAATGTCATGAACCTCAGTCCAAATAGTAGGACCCAACAGACCTGTTAAAATGAGATGTCCCTCAAAAATTACTTGAAAGATAACATACCAGAGAGCCTGTCATTATAAAAGTGAGAGTTAAAGTCACAGTGGAAAAGCGTGCCACTTTGAAACTGATAAATAGCAGTTATGCTTTTTACTAACTTTAGTTCAGCCTCAGGGTTGTTCTGAGAAATTATTTCTGATAAGTCATTCAATGTTTCATTAATTCAATGATCTAGGAGAATAACATTAAAGTCAAATAAAACAAATGCAAAAGTCTTGAGGCATAAGTAAATCTGGCATAGTTGAATAATATGACTGAATTTATGTGAATGACCAATAGAATAATAAAAATATGATTAAAGATGTATACAGGGAACATAATATGTAGGACCTTATGGGAAGGAGGGAGAGAGAAAAAATGAAGAGATCATAGGTGATTCCTATGATTTAATTTCGATTATGACAAATGGGTAGATAGTCCAAAATACAGAAATCAAGAGGAAATTAAGCGTTATAGTCTGTGGATATTTTTATAAGATGCTTATAAATGGTTTATTGAATGAGTTGGAGTCAGTGACATGAAAATATGAAATAGCTTTGATTTTACAAAATGACCACAATTTTTAGCTGCATTCTGTGAAATTTCTTTCTTTCACTTTGATCAAGCCTAAATCTTTTCTATTAATGTCCAAATATTAACAGACACTAATGTTTGTAGGTGTTAACAATTTCTTTCCTTTTAAATGACAAACTTTGATGTCCTCTGAATCTTTTTTATTATTTGTTTTATTTTATGTGTATGAGTGTTTTGTTTGCATGCCTTTGTTCACCATATGTGTGCTTGGTGCCCAAGGAAGTCAGAAGAGGGTGCGGGATCTAGAAGTGGAGTTCCAGATGTTTGTGAACTACCATGTAGACAGATTAAAGAGAAAAAGAAAAGAAAATAATCCAAGACCAAGTTTGTAGAAGCCAAGCAGTGGAGATATAAAATCCAGTCAGTTTATTTTCCTGAAAGTAGCAGTTAAGGACATCTGGTTAAAGAATATATCCTTTGGTGACCACACTAAGTACAGTCCTGAGGTTAGGAATATTTGCTAGGAAATGAGTTAACTAACATCATAATTAGCATACAATATTGTTTTCATTACCCATCCAGGGTGGCCTGGGCTTGGCAATGTTGAAAAGGTGGTCCACGTACTCTACAAATACCGTCTTTTTGTACATGGTGGAGGTGTTGAATGGAAAAGATGTTGGCATTCTAGGAAGAAATCTGGATGAAGAAAAGAAAAGGTCATCCATTTTGATATTGTTATATTAAGATTTCAAAAGTTCAAAGTTTAACATTAATAAAATTCTAATAAACTGATAGAACAATGATACTTGCTATTCAGTCATGAGTTTAGGATTCTATATTCCCTTTGGTCATTTCTTAAATATAAATTAAAAATGCTTCTGATTTTAATGGAGACATCTTGATCTATTTACTTTCAGTCTACTAAATGAATAAAACATTTAATAAAAGCCCTTTAATGCTTAATCAAAACACAAATTAATCAAATCTAATACAATTAATCAAAGACTAATAAAACTAACATTTTATGTTCAACCATTCTTTTTTGATAACTCAAAATCATAACATTTGGACATGTTTAACCACACCATGTCATACCAACTATTGTAGATTCCTATATAACTCCTCTGCCTTAATATAGATCAGAGATATTATGAATTCATATACAACTACAAGATGGTTAAACTAGTCCTCAGCTTGCCATCAATGTGAATTGTTGATTTATTATTAATTATAGACATAAATTGATAATTATAAATACAAATTATTGGTAACTATTGATTAACTATCAATATAGATTGTTGATTATTAATTTCAACATCATTATCATTCTTCCAGTCATCCTCAGACACTTAGGACCTGAAGTATGCATTCCCCAAAGAGAAATTCATAAACTGCATTTATTAAATGAAAAAGGGGGAATTCATGAGATCCGCAAGGTTATGCAGATCAGCTGACATTTAGAAGGCCAATCCACCAGACATTTACACATATGATGGAGGTTAAATTCACATAAGCACAGCCGTGAAAAATATTGCATTTTGAATAGCTGGCTGTCTCTAACTGCAAATTCTGTTGTGCGATAACATGCTCCACTTCTAACTCAGCTTTGTGATTCTTAAGCAATGTATTCCTCATATGTTGGGCACAATTTTCCTGTGTTCTGTTAGGATGACTTCCCCCCCACCAAAAAAACTGTGTAATTCTGGCAAATAAAATAAGACAGTCAAACCTTTTGTCCCACACTACAATAAAAAACAACTTATAAGACTGTTCTCTATAATTAATTCCTTGACAGGATTATTTGACCAGAAGAAAGTCTTTGTGGAGAGATCACAGGAGGAACTTCCACAGAGCTGAACTGCAGGTGTCTGGCCTTGCTAGATCTAAGTCCTTCAAAGATTTATGATTAATTAGAGCGGTATTGCAGGTGTCTGGCCTTGCTATATGATAGTCCGTCAAGAGACCAATAGCACCCAACTGACTAACTATGTTAGTCTCTGCCTCTTCCTTAGATCTCTCAATGGTTTAGTTTTATCCCTTTGTAACCTGTAGTGCCCCCCTTTAAGAGATGGCCCAAACCTCCTCACAGCTGCAGCTGTGGTTAGCTACAAACTAGCTGATAAATTTTGCTGTACATCTTCAAAGAACACCTGTGTCCCTGAGAATTTTCCTTGCAGATTTTTATTACTAACAAGTTCCTAATGGATGGATGTGTGTGTGTGTGTGTATATACGTATATACGCATGTACATGTGTATATGTATATGCTGGGGAATTTGTACCAACGGAAAAAAGAAGACTGAAAGAGTAAAGAATGTAGAAGGATAAAGAATGTAGAAAAATGAAGAAAAAGAAGAATATTGAGTAATTAGAACAAGAATAAATTGGAATAGAGATTTGTAACAGAGAATTGGAATTAGAATTGATACAGAGAATTAGAGTTAAGAAATTATAGACAATTAGGACAAGAAAATTAGAATTAAAACAGAACAATAAAGAGACATGACTGGTACTGCAATCATGTGAACTCATTCTGTAACCTCAAACTAGACATTTTCTAAGTACCTTTTGCTACTCCAAGGCAATCTAACCGAACCCTGGGAGGAAGTCAGCAGAGCTGGACTCTGCTGGCTTTCAATGCTTAACAGTTTTCTTAACAGTCAAATATCTGAACTGATACTTAGTTTTTCAGAGACCTCTGTCAAGGACTCTGACCAAGCAGGGCAAAAGTGGGGCTGGCTTCACCCGTATCATATTCTGCTGGCCCACTCTTCCACTTAGCCCTGAATTTCACTCCATTCCAGGGTTTCCAAGATACCTGAGAGCCAGTTGACTGGCTCTGCCAACTGAAGGCCTTGACAAAAAACATTCTATAGTGGCTGTGGGCCAAAGACCAGGGGTTGATAAGGAAACTCTTCCAGTAAATAGAATTTCTTTGCAGAGAAATGCATGGGGGAACTTCATGGGTTAGAGGGCTAAGATAACTGTATAAACAGGAGGCTAGAAACCTCTCAAATCCTTTTTTGCCTCATCACACTCATGAACTTACAGGAGATACCTGATGATGACTTGTTTCTGGGAGAGGCACTCACCTGGCCTTTTATACATAGGTCAACATCGTACACTAGTATAAAAAATTGACTATTGGTATACCACAATCCATTTGTTGGTGGCATTGATATATAATGGTGGAGTAAATAATGCCCTCAATGGTCCAAACTTTAACCAATACTACTAATTGTTCAATATATTAAAAGAAAAATTGCACAGGGTTCAGTTATATACAGACTATTTCTGTTATATAAGATTGTGTTCAGCAACAAATATCTTTGTTTTCTTTCTGGGATAAAGACATATTAGTGAGTGCAAGAAGAAGATCTTCATACTACACGTTAATTATATGGAAAATTTCCACTGTTGAAGAAGCACAAAACATCATAGAAAAATGTTTTATAATCCATTCTAACTTTGCTTCCTCTTAACTTTTGGGAGTGTTGTTTGCATTTCCCTTGGAATTTGATATATAAATTCTGCCAAATGTACTTGGCAATAATTATTCCTGACATGAATTGTTCTTTCAAATTTTATCTAAAACTAGTTGGAAAACCATTATATTTTCTGATCTTTGCTTAGAAGAAGTTGAGCAGCTGCAGGAACAGATAATATAAATTTGAATTTCCTTAGCTGTCTATTTTAAACTTTGGCAGAGTCTGTCAGGATGTGTTAAGAGTCAGTTTATCATGTTGTCAAAATAATCTAGATTACAAAATGTTAACGTTAAAACAAAAAATCTACTTTTTTGTAGTAAATACATGTGACATCCTGCTAATGACTTATTTAGTTCATTAGATTCACTTTTAGTGTGGGTGTTATATTGTGTGTACTTGTGCTCGTGTGTGTGTGTGTGTGTGTGTGTGTGTGTGTGTGTGTAAATATGGAGGTCAGATGTTGATATTAGGTATCTTCTATCTCTCTCTATCTTATTTTTATCTTTATGTGTCTGTGTGAGTGTATGCCACATGAGTGCAAGTACCTGCAGAAGCCAGAAGATGGCTTTGGATCCTGTAGACTTGGAGTCACAAGTGGTTGTGAGCCATCATGTTGTAGGACTTTAGGACAATTTTGAGGCTATTTCTGAGTGCCTTAGTGCTTCCCCCCACTCCCTGGGAATACATGCACGTACTAAAATGTTGGGAACTTTCCATCTCCTATGACCTTGTGGATATTCTCCAAATAGAGCTCCGTTTCTAGAATTAGGACAAGATAACCCACAGATGTCCACCAAAGTTTTGACTCAGTTCCTGGAAAGAAGTCAGAATGACCCCCAAATGTTCCCTGTTTCCTCGCCTAATCTGGCAACCGCTTTCCTGCCCTGGCTCAGACCACTTGTTATTAGAAGCCCCCCCTGAATAAACCAATCCTAATAATGAGAAAAATGTCCCAAGTCCGCCCCCCCTTGTTTCTATGGTTTTTTGCTTTAAAAATGGCTTGTAATAGGCATTCGGGGTCCTTGGCATCGAATGCTAAGTGACCCTACCATGGCAGAATTAAAATCCTCTTGCTTTTACAACAATTGAGGTGTGAGAGTGTATTCTTGGGGTGACTCCTCCTCAGTAGTTGGACTCTAGGGTTCAACAATGTGAGTGCTAGGAATTGAATTTATGTCCTGTGTAAGAGCAGAAATAACTCAACCACTGGGCCATCTCTCGGGATTCCATCTTCTTTTTTTTTTTTTAGACAGCCTGGAGCTCACTGATTCAGATAAGCTGGCTGTACAGTAAGCTCCATGATTCCGCATATCTCTGCTTCCCAGTGTTAGAATATTTATGTGGATGCTGGTGATCTGACTTCAGTTCTTCGTGCTTGTAAAGCAAGCACTTCACTGTTTGAGTCACTTCCCAACCCTCCTAAATAAAATTTTATACCAAAAGTATTATTCATTGTGCCAGGCCACTAGATTACATTAAAATACAAAGCACTTCATGATGTATAATCATCTCGCTATTGTTAACAAGAACAAACAGATAAATGACCAACTTTTCAATATGATACCAGGTACCTGGTCCTCTGGGCTGCTACTCGGGGTATTCAACTGCAGGCTATACAAACAATAGAATGAACCTGTATCCCTTTCTTACACCATACACAAAAAACAAGCCTTAAGTGAATCAAAGACCTTAATGTAGGTGTTAAAAATATAAACTGCATGTCAAAAGTATAAAACAGATAAATTGAACTTCATCAAAATGAAAGACTTTGAGTTTGAAAGAATACTATTAGTAATGTGAAAAGATTACCCACAGCATGGGATAATAGTCACATAATATAAATCTTATAAAGTTGTAGTATTGAAACTATATAAAGAACTTTTAAATCTCAATATTAAAAAAAGACAATACAGGGACTGGGGAAATAGATAGTTCAGCAGTTAAGGTGCATGCCTTTAATCCCGGCACTTGGGAGATAGAAGCAGGTGGATCTCTGAGTTTGAGACCAACCTGGTTTACAGTCATGGTGGCTCACGACTGACTGGAATTTCAGTCCTAGGGGATCCCTCTTTTGACTGTTGTACTAGGTACTGAAGTGGTGAACTGACATGCACACAGGCAAAACACTTATTTACATAAAATAAATAAATCCATAAATGTGTTCTAAAGAATTACCTTGGTATCAATAAAACAAAAGAAGTGAAAGACT